GAAAGGTTATGGCGTTATATACGCACCGCCACTTGATCAGCTGGTATAAATTGATGATTTTGCCCACAGAGGCCGAGATGATATGATGGGATGCCCTCAGAGGCTTGATGATGTTATGTACGCATATACCTATGCATGGTATGGCATTTTACATATATGCATGACATTATAAATGTTTCATGATTCACAGAGCTATTCAGACTTACATGTTGAATTCTTTACTCATGTTTCTTTCATGTGTTTTATATACTATGTTTCATGCCTTACATACTTGGTATTTTATTTGTAATGACGTCCCTTTTGCCTGGGGACGCTGCGTTTCATGCCTGGTGGTCCCGATAGACAGGTTGACAGTCCTCCTAGTAGGCTATCAGCTCAGCGGAAGGTGTTAGTACACTCCACTTGCTCCGTAGTTACTTATTTGGTCGGTATGCTTTGGACATGTATTTACTAGTATGGCAGGCCCATGTCTCAGCCTTTATGACGTTTACGTAGGCTTAGAGGCTTGTAGATAGATGTCATGTATATGAAAGATTGTATGGCCTTGTCGGCCTATGTTTAGTGTACGAGTGATCATTTTGGTCTTATAGGCCCGTATCTCACATGTATAAATTTGTATTACATGTTGGGTCATCCTATGTCGAGTATTCCCTTATGTTTTATTCTGGTTATATCATAAAGGCCCTTTTGGCCCCTTTATCCATGATGGTATGATAAGAAACAAATACGTTACGTTGGTACTCGGTTGGTTAAGGCATCTGGTGCCCGTCGTGGACCATCAGTTTGGGTCGTGACAAAAGTGGTATCAAAGCAGTTGTGTCCTGGGGAGTCTAAAAGTCGTGTCTAGTAGTGTCTTTTTTATGGGTGTATTGTGCACCACACTTATAAGTAGAAGGACTATAGGGCATTTAGGACTATCACTTTTTCTTCTTATTCTAGATCGTGTGGTAGAGCTCAGTTGTAAGAATTCAAACTCCTAAATTCCATTTTATTCGCAGTACAACGATACCTACATCCTAAACAACAGTTGGTACGAGATTGAATGTGGTTGTGGAAGAGTTAAGCCAGAGGAACTCAATTTTGCATCATGCTTATGATGAGTAAATGTGAGATTTTCAGTAGATCATCTGTATAGTAAGACGTGTAAGCTTCTTGATAAGGAGCCCTAAGGCATGAATATCTATCTACCCATGTGGTAAAAAGAAATAAGAGAATCACAAGGTAGATACAAGTTTCAACAAGTGAAAGAGGCAAGGTGAAGAAGGGTACGAGGTACCCAGTTAGTGAAGATTATTAGAATTTACTATTCATACAGAGAAATATAAGCATTCTGAGTTACCTTCAACAGTAACATGGGTATGTACAATTGGCCACACCCATCACTATTATGCCCTATGGGAGCTAACAGATATAGTTAAAAGAAGGATGTGATATTAAGATCCAGCTGAGATTAGAGTAACCTAAAATGCTTGATGGATTGTTAGCATTAGCTGACATCTCTGAATGATATTGCAAATGTGGTAATCGATCTTCTTGTGAGATACACAGATGGTGCACTCTAGAATAGTACAATTAGATATGAATACTAGAATGTTCAGAAAAATCATAAGATTGTGCAAGATAAAATTGAAATGAATTTGGGAACGAAGAATTTGATAATAGTCGACATCGTGAGAATTTCAGAGATTGCGTTCTGGAAGTAATAGAATGGACAACAGAAGAATAATCTTTAAAGGTAATTCAAGAAGACGATTCCCTAATGCAAGCACTGTGAGCAGAGTTAAGCTTAAGAGACTAAGTGTGCTAGTTACACTAGGTGTCACCCTCGCGCGTAAAAAAAAATTCAGTTATCCTTGGTATAGAAGGGTTACCTCAAGGGGAGTAAGATGTCAGTGAAGATGTAAGAAGACGCCAAAGATGATGAGGTAACTATGGAATATTAAAGGAAGAATGCGGAAGGCGAAAGGAATGAGTTTGCATTTATTCGGATCCCACAGATATACTACGACTCCAGAACATTATGCAAGCACGATGCCGGGGAGAGGAAGTAAGGGTTCCCGCCCGGGATATTAATAACTAAGTGTGAATGGACACTTGATATATATTTTTTAATGCGGTTATTGGAGAGTGAAAAATTGAAAAACGCATATCAGATTTTAGAGAGAGAGAGAGAAAGGAGAAAGAGAGATGGGGAACTGTATGTCGGATGTGAAAGAAGGGAAGCAGGCTATAGGAGGAGTGGGCCACCATATGGACCCAGCAGCCGCCGCTGCTGTTGGTGGTGGTGGAGGGCCCAATGATGCCGTTGACTTGTTCTGTAGGACAAACGGACTTCACGCCCTTTACACGCCAATCCACATGTATTTTGAGTGATGGGAAAGGAAGCAACAACCGGCCAACACCATAGATTGCGACAACAAAGAAATGACAAACAAGAATCAACGGTCGGGGATTTAAGCCAGAAAGCAAAGATATATCAGTCCTACTGAGAAAACTCCTCCAAGGCTCAAATAGTCGAAGCACGCCTGGCGCATCTCATTCCTAGCTTGATCAGGTGAAGCAATGAACACCTTATACAAAGCACCAGCTAACATATTGTTGGTGGATGCCACATGCTGTAGATACAAATATTGATGCAAAACGAATAAATCATTCATGAAGCTAAAGGTACCGGTAAGAGTCACACCTATTGCTCAAGAAGAATTATGTAGATCAGAATACCATCGATCATGAACAACATTGTATGCACTCCATAAAAAAGTGGCACCTATCGTGGCTAACGAACGGGAAAAAAATTAATGGTGATATTTGAGATCATATGAGTTACAGGAAATTTCAGTATTCATGGGCAATAAGATAAGCCAAGTATTCATGCAACAAGTGGTAGAACGACCAAGAAAAGTAATTGCTTACATTTAAAGAAAGTTGAGAAGGCACGAAAGGAACTATTCAATCATTGACCCAGAGTTAGTTACGTCATGAACTCACTTAAGATTTCGGAGTGATATCCATGCAGCATATATGTTGACATTTGTATAGTTATCAGAGACTCCGGTATAAGTTAAAAGAAAGAATTAAGTCCACGTCACGGATAAAGGCTTGAATTATTAGAAGATTATATCATGGATGCTACATAGAGTCCATGAAAGGCTAATGTAATAGCTAATACCCTAAACCGAAGATCGGAAGACAGCTTAAGCCTACATAAAAGCTGAGGGGGAAGAGAAAGCTCAAAAGTTACATCAGGAGTCCGATTGTTAGACCCAGATGATTATAGAAATCATTACTCAAACCATTGCAGAATGACTTTTAATAACAGAAGTACAAGAGAGATAATAAACGACCATATTCTATAAAAGCTCTACGATAAAGATAGTTAGAAGAGTACCAGCCTCATAAGACGTCAATATGAAGCTCCAACCAGATTGTGTATGCACCAGGGGCGCAAGTATTGTAGTAGATCTTTAAGGTGTGGATGTGAGCTCCACCAATGTGGAAGGGAGGTTAAGCGATAGAAGATACGATGCGAGATTTAAAGGTAAGTATGGTAAATGAGAGTAAGAAGGTGACGATAATAGGTAATGTCTCGGGATTAAGCCCATCAAAACAAGAGAGCCGATGGATTTCGTATGTTATAAAAGACTCAATATAGCCTGCAAGAGGATGAAATTTAGGCCCTTGATTGGGTAATGATTCAAAAACAAAGGGTTTTCATGAATTGCACAGAATTAGAATACCCCCATAACATGGGTCATGTTGGAATGCTATGAAATACGATTATTGAAGTATAGTATCGCCCCTAGGTTGATCAGGCAAATCACTCTAGATGTTCCCCAATGAGACGTGAGCCCTAGTGATAATGTATTACGTAAGAGGTTTCAAGTTATCAACGGTAAATTATAGGTCAACATTAAGGTGAATCAACAATAGACGGATAAAATTTTCAAAGTGTGACAGAGATTAGGAACCCATTCTTTAGATAAACAGTAATAAGGAAGCATTAAAGGGCTTAGATTTATACATATAGGATAAGCAGCGAAAGAGTAACCTGGAGTTGGGTAGCACACCTTGGTAATAATAAACTGAAGTAAGAGTATAGTATGACCTACCTAGTTGTAGTAAAGCCATAAGCATAGATAACTGAGGCTATGAAACAAGATATATCAATAGTCGTAAGTTCGACAAAGCACCGAGCGAAGAATTTTAGTACACATATAGATGTCCAAAGGGACAACTTGTCATAATTCTGTATATGTTCATAAAGCGAGACCTAGAGATTGGCTAACAGCTGGAGGAAAAAGGAGAGAAGAGTCGCATAGGTGCACTTATAAGGTCAAAGTCGTACATGTTGCATGATAGAAGGTAGCAATAATTACGAGATTGGAAGAATTCTTTACCACAAGTCATGCTGTGAGAAAGAGACCTAAAGGGGGGAATGCACTAGCTTTTGAATTTATTCACAGAACAGTTGCCTAGATGGCAAGGATAGTATTAAAGTATTCATAAAAGCTATAGGTTATAAGACTAATAGGTGCATCAGCCAACATTCGAGGAGGAATGTTCTAAAGGGGGAGTGATGTTACATCCCATGTTTCGGTATGTGAGAGTACATCGTAAGTTAATTAATATAAGCACGGGAATGAGATTATATTTGGAAGACCATCCACGTTTGTTTGGATTAAAAATCCTTCTTTACCACGTGTCCTGAGACAAAGAATTAAGCTTTGTATAAGAATTGACCTATTGTGAAGTTTCCATACATACAATATTAGAAAAGGATGACTTGCCATAAGAGTTCCGAAAATTGAGAAGGGATTAAAAGGGCTGAGTTGGAGCCCTTTTTTGAAATTGTCACTTTATTCATATTTTCATACATATCCAATTGCACAATATTATTTAACGTGGAATAACATTTCTACGAAGAAAAGGGCAACTTGAATTTGCCTACAAAGTACCGAGTAATGGGACTTGTGACTAGTGGGTAGTTGTACAAAAAATTGGTGAAAGGAAAGCAAGTACTATGCATGTCTATATATAGCATGAAGGAGAGGCTATATGGAATAATTCTAACGGGATTTCCTTCTCCCCTCCACTCATCCAATTTGTCTGAATATTAGGCGTAAAATTTGGGGTAAATTTTTGGGATTTATTTGGAACGAAAATTCTTTTTTTCTTTACTACCAAAAACGAAAAAAAAAGAAGAGCTCCGCTGTTATATATAGGAGTATTTTTTAACGCGGTTATTGGAGAGTGAAAATCGCATATCAGATTTTAGAGAGAGAGAGAGAGAGAAAGGAGAAAGAGAGATGGGGAACTGTATGTCGGATGTGAAAGGAGGGAAGCAGGCTATAGTAGGAGTGGGCCACCATATGGACCCAGCAGCCGCCGCTGCTGTTGGTGGTGCTGGTGGTGGTGGAGGGCCCAATGATGTTGTTGACTTGTTCTGTAGGACAAACGGACTTCACGCCCTTTACACGCCAATCGAGGTTATATGTCTTTTTCATCTTAAAGTTGCAATTTAACTTCCTTGACTTTGTTTCAAAGTTGCCTTTCGAATAAAATAAGTTCCACTGTTGTTTTAATATTATTTCCATTGTGTACTCGTGGTTTTGGGATAACATTCTGATTTGGGCTTAGAAGAGTATCTTTTTCCTTTTTGGGGTTTATGAACCTTATTTTATTGTTTGAAATAGGTGTAGCAATGGTTGTTGTTGTTGGGGTTATAAATCCTGACTTTTCATTAATTTATTGAATAGACACGGTTTACAAACTCATGATAGAGGTGCCGTACTAGTTAAGTTTATTTAACAATGTTCAGTAGCTTCTCCATGGGTTCCTTTGCATGCATTACCAAGCATGAGTAGTTAACTTTGTTGCCAATATATATATATATATATATATATATATATATATATATATATATATATATATATATATATATTGGGAACAATTACTGTCAAAAGTTTTTCTTAATTCCAGACTTGAAATCTCTATATTAATCCATCTAGATAATGAGTTATAAACACTCCAGGAAAAGTGACTGGGATATTGAGAATGAAAGCCGCGTTAAGTTTTCACTTTTAAACTATCAACTGGAGTTCCATAGGTAATTAGGCTTAGGATAATGATGTCACCTTAAAATCCTTGTTCGAGGTAGTAGCATTATACGAAAAAGAAAACTTTAACAAAAGATTTAGCCTGGCAAAACTCTTTTAACTTATCTGAAGGAATTTCAGGATCTGCATTTCGGCATAAGATGCCGCCACTCTTTCTGTTACTCACCTGATTAGCTGAAGGTTTGACTTGAAGTATCTGACAACAACAACAATAACCCAATAAAATCTCACAAGTAGGGTCTGGGGAGGGTAGAGTGTACACAGACCTTACCCCTACCTCGGGGGAATAGAGAGGTTGTTTCCGGTAGACCCTCGGCTCAAGAAGACGAAAAGAGAAACAATATATCAGTATTATCAACAAAAAACAATAGAAATAATGACAGCAACATAAGAACTAGAGAATAGATGGAAAGCACTAACAATAACCAGTAAATAAGGCCTGGTACAAAGAAAAACTAGAGAATAATATGAAGACAACATGAACCACTAGCAGTCTAAGATAAAACCCTATCAGACTAGCCTTTCCCAAATACTTGAAGTATCTAGCAATGTAGTTTAAGCAACAAACCAAATTTCTCTTAGCTTTCATTTGATTTAGGTAGATATTGTTCTAAGGGAGAGGAAATACATCTTCCTTCTCTAATTATTTTGTTCATTAAGGGTGTGTATGGTACGAAGGAAAATGTTTTCCATGGAAAATGTTTTCCTTAGAAAATGAGTGATTTTATCACTTATTTTCCTTGTTTGGGTGAGTGAAATTTTTTTCCGGCAAATATTTTCTACTGTTTGGTTAGAGAGAAAAAAAATTATTTTTTCGAAAAATAGTTTTTTTTTAAACTACTCTCCTCAGACTCTTCTCCCAAATCCCCATTTTTTCTGTGCCCCCCCCCCCCCCTCCCCACAAAAAAAATACCCAACGTTTTTAGGACTTTATTTTCTTCAAGAATTTAATTATTCTTATAAAAATCACACAAATCCAAAGAACTAATGTGCTACTTTACTTTTTTTCGTAAAAAACAATGTTGAAATTTATGTTCCATAACTAACAAGAAAAAACTCTATTTTTAGTTGAAAAAGAAAGTATTATTTCTATAACATGATAAGAAAGTACTTCATTTTGCTTAAATTAAAGAAAATACTTTTTCCGCATCATGACAAGAAAATACTCATTTTATTGAAATCAAATAAAATATTTTTTCTACGCTGTAAAAAAAATATTCATTTTGTTGAAATGAAAGAAAATACTTTTTACTACATCATTTTGTTGAAATGAAAAAAAAAATTTCTACATCATGAAATGAAAGTACCTGTTTTGTTGAAATGAACAAAAATACTTTTTTTACATCACGAAAGGAAAATACTTATTTTGTTGAAATAAAAAATAAAGTACTCTATCTACAACATGTAAAGAAAGTACTCTTTAACAATATTTCTATCCGGGGTAGGGGCAGGGGTAGGGGTAGGGGTAGGAGTGGGGGTGGGAGGGGGTAGGGTGGGGTGGGGTGGATGGGGGTGTGGGGTTGATGGGGACGGAGAATAGAGTGGGAAAGGTTGAAAAAGAGTTTTGGAAAATGTTTTCCCTTCTCTTGGGAAAACTTTTTCCTCCAATTGGAGGAAAATGAGTTGATGAGAAAAATGTTTTCCAAAACATTTAAGCCAAGAAATATTTTACTTCGTAGCAAACACACCCTAATAGTCTCAACAGTAAACAAGAATACATTCGTTACTGCAGAAGTTGTACGTAAGTCTAGATGCACACTTTTGCATTAGAGTCAACTCCTCCAAGAGGATCCAAAATTAATCTTCGAAGCAAATATATACAGTATCCAAATTGGCCTACATGTTGAATACTACAAATGACAATGGTGAAGAAATAGAATAACAGAAACCTAAAACTTCTTAAGAGTCATCAGCTCCACCAAAATGAAATAAAGCTTTATTACCAATTCCTACAACACTATGCCTCATTACCATGTTAGTTGAGTTGATTATATGAATATTCAATAATCATTTCGCTCCATTTGGACCCGTTTTATGCCAATGCTCAACAATATTGGGCTCTCTACATTTTTTTACCGATATACAATGAACTCGACCTCAATTGTGGCTTTCCTAGCAGTTTCCATTTAAGGAGTTTCCCATGGCATTAGTTTCTTTATTGCTGTGATTATGAGAATATTATGTTGCTCTGAACATATGTGCTTTGATTATCAACTGCAGTTATCATTATCGGCTTCAAAGCTACGTGATCTTGATATTGTTTCTAAGGTACCTTCTCTTTTGAATGTTAAACTTCCGGTTTATTGGTGATATCTGTCTGTGTATCCCAGTCATTATTTTTAAAGCTTATTCTATCTTTTGAGAATATTATGGTATACTTGCTAGTTGTTGCTCAAAACTTCCTTCTGTCATCATGGACAATGATTTGTTTGTTTTAAATTCTTTTATATTAAGCTAAAATGATTATAGGATCATGTCAGTTATAAACATGCAAATAGTCAAGTCAGTGTGGCTCATGAATAAATAGAATCAAAGTGTAATATGTTCCTTTCCGTTATCAATTACTGAATACGTTTTGGTGTGAAAGTTTAGGGCTCATTTGTTATGAGGTATAAGAAAAAACAATGTCTATATGGAACTTCGTATTATCAATCAGCATTTTGATTACCCATTTTGTTTCCTATACAGATACCTGCATAACTTTTGCAACATTTCTTAATTATATTATATACCGGATTCAATATTGAATAACAATACACGTATTAGCAATACATGTATTTAATCCCACAAATGAATTGTCCGTTAAACTATTATTTGTTTAGTTATAATGTTTCTTATTACTATTTCTCAAGTTTCTAATAAGGTTGGTGGTATTGACCGTAAAATTATAAGAAAGTGTTTAGAGTAAAACTTTTATCCTTGAAAGAGGAATTTTAGGATTTGCTTAGTTTTCTATTTCATATTTTAGTATACGCCATTTTTAACTTTCCATGTAAAATTATCTTTTCATATGAGAAAATAAAAAATTGGTACTTATAAATTTTATTGAATATTCAACTGTTTCAAGCTAATTATTTTAGTTACATATAATAAAACTGATATTGGATTATTTGAACCTTGGGTCATTGGTATTACTGGATATTAATTTAATACCAAACACATGCTTTAACTTTTATAAGGAAAATAAAAGATCAGGTAACTAATACAATAATCCAGTGATTATTAATCTTTGTTTTACCATTTTTGTATTAAAGTCTTACTGTCATATTGTCTATTTATGTGATGTCAATCCCTTGCTATGCGTTCTAAGGTAGCAGAGTTCTTATTTGAAAGTTGAAACTATGTGTAGCTGATATACCTGCTGTAAATTCTGTTAACAAGATTGTATAATACTCTCTCCATTCGAGAATGCATTGCCTGTATTTACAAGGAGCTAACCGTCTAATTTTGTCTTATATTGAACATCTGCAAAGATTTATGATGTAATGTCAAATAAAATGCATAATGTTGCAGAGTTACTGCATTTGGTTGAATTGAAGCATTGGGATAAATTGATAGAAATATAAATATGAATGAATCTACTCCGTTAGTAATTCCATTAAATTTATAGAAATAGCTATTCCAAAAAGAACTGACACTCAAAGAAATTTTACTTTTCTGATTTAAAGTATTGTCACCATATTACAAATATGTAACTTAGGATAAGTGGTAACATCAGTAACATGTCTGAACAATATATTCATGTGTAGTAGTGTTCTGATTGCTTCACCTATGTTTAACTCAATTAAACTGTACTCTTCATTTCATACTTCTTGTGTTGTCTGAATTGTAAACCAAAAAGCTTGCATCAAGCCTGAAACTTTAAATCTTTCTTATGGTCAATTTCTCTTTTTCTCGTGTTATCCCTATAACAGTTCTAGTTTGAAATTTCAAAACCCAGTCACATAGCTGGGTTTCCGTCGTTTTTATACCTTCCTTCCCAATGTTCAAGTTCTTCTTTTGCATTGTTTTATCAATGATTTTGGTGTTCTACTTAAATTCAGAGTGTTCCAATGGCAGTAGTATGCGTTAGAAAAAGAGATGGGACACTGGAAGAGCTTGGTCGAACAGAAGTTATAATGAACAATTTGGACGCCGTATGGATACAGAAAATTCATATCATGTACCAGTTTGAGACTGTGCAGACACTGATGTAGGTTTTTGCTCTTCGTGCTTATTTGATCTCTGAATTTATGGATGTCTATTATGTTCAATTAGCCCCTGACGTGCTTTTCCATATCTTTTGATTTTCAGTTTCCATGTCTATGATATAGACACAAAATATCATAATTTACCAGTTAAGGTATGCTTACTTTCTGTAAGTAGACAATTGTTACCAGTTTCCAGTATCTTTAAAGTCCAGCTGAAGGATACTGAGAAATATACTTCAACTTTAGCTTTTATTTGGTTATCACTTTTCCCCTTCCCCTCTTTCTTTGTGAGGGGGTGGGAAAGATGAGCAGGGATTCAGAATGGGTTGAATAAGCCCTTAATCTCCATAACATGAATCCTTAATGAATAAGCTAACCCCTTTACTCACCACAGTTATTTGTATGTGTCAGTGTCTTGAGCAAGATGATACATATGTAGTTGGTCTGGACCTTTTTTTCTTAACTTAAATTAATTTTTATTGTCTTTACTTGATACAGTTGGAGAAACTCCAATATCGTTTTCACTTGTGGACACTGCAAGTGCTTGTCACAAGTAGGAAATGATACTTTGACAAAAGTAACTATGAGAAATGTTCTTGTGCATCATCTGATTTAAACAATTTTTGTGTCATCCGTTTGAAGTAGGCATTTGACTTTGAGTCACATGTATGATTCTTTAGCTTGACATGAGATTTTCTGGGGCACAAATATTCAGGACCCCCCTAAACTTGACAACTTTTGTTTAGTTCCCCCTTAAACTTTACGTGGTCTTTATTACCCCCTGAACTTGGAAATTTGATAGCCTCAACCCCCCTAGACGCTGATGTGGCAAAGAGCGTGAATACATTCTCTTTTAGGCGCGTAGGAGGGAAAAGAATCGAAAAATCAGCTTCTAAGTGGGGTACTTTTGAAATATTAATTGCTACATAATCAAATATAATGATTTATTTGTTCCAATTGTATTTGTCGCTGTTTCTTCTTAATATACGTTGCATATTTTATCTGAATTGTGTTTTTTTAGATACACTGAATATTTGTTTCAACTATGTATTTTTATTTCCGGTCCAAATCTACAAAAGTTAGTTGAAACTCTATTTCTTTTAGCCAAATAAAAAGAAGGTTTAGCCAAAGTAATGAAGTTCAAATGGTGTATTTTCTACAAAAAGAAAAAAGTATTGTGTATTTTTCTTTTCATGAGATGACTATTTATTTAAACTATGCATTATTTTTTTTCGGGTCAAATTCGTAAAATATTTTGCTGGAGTTTTATTATTTTTAGCCAAAATATGGAGTTCCAATAACGTATTTTTCTTTAGATGCAATGAGTATATGTTTTAACTATGTATTCCTTCTTTTCCTAACCAAATATGTAAAAATTACAGTATCCAAATAAAAATTATAGTCAAAATAATGTTGTTCCAAGTTTTTGTAACAGATTGGCACGAAAAAGATAATTTAAATAATTGGTGGACTTAAAAAGGTAAAAATATATGTTTTATTGTAAAAAAATTCCACATGGACAAAAAAATCCATGTGGCAGCGCGTGTGTCATACTCCCATGGATTGTCAGCATCCAGGGGGTTGAGGCTATCAAAATGCCAAGTTCAGAGGGGTGTTAAAGACCACATGAAGTTTAAGTAGGAACTAAATAAAAGTTGCCAAGTTCAGGGTAGTCCCGAACAATTTTGCTGATTTTCTGGATCTAATATTTTTGTTTTCCATTCTTTAGCACTTGAGATTTAAAATCTTCCTTACTACTAGAAAGAAAACATGTAAACTAAATAGAAGAAGGGAAGCAAACTTCTTAACAATCTGTCTTTCTGCAAATGTTCACTTTTATCTCTTTGCATCTAAACTCAAAAAGTCTATTATGGACTTTAAAAAATCTATAAATGAAAGTAATCTACGTCTGAAAGTTTGTTGTAACAATCAAGCTTGGAATGTTCAATTCGAATAATTCATGGAACTGCTAATGTTTAATATTATTTTCTTTCCCTTGACCATATTTGCATATTTATGCGTTATCTACTTTATTGATCAACAAATAATTTGCAGTTTTTCAGTGACGTATTTGCCAAGCATTATGGCTAAATTGAAAGGTTTTTTGCACTGCAGGACCTGAAATTAAAGGACCAAGATTTCCTTGGTGAAGGCAGTTGTGTTCTCTCAGAGGTAAGATAATTGCATTCGCTCGGGCTGACACAAATTCCATAGTATCCCTAGTCATTCTTATACTTATTCAGCTGCTTCTTGGTGATATTGACTCATTGATGGCGTAACAAGGGAATTATCATAATCCGATATAGTGAGCATCAGTCACAATAGGTTCTTTCTTTTCTCCAGCAATATAACAAAGTAACTTTCTAGACTATTAATAGCAAACAAGATCTTGACCAAGCAAGTTATGTACCAGCCCCATCTAATTTTACCCCAGTAATTAGTGCATGAGAAGCATCCATTAATGTTTGCATTAGGGTAGGATGTCTACATCACATCCCTTAGGTCCGGCCCTTCCCCCGACCCTGCGTGAACACGGGATGCCTTGTGCACCGGCTGCGCTTTAATTAGTGCATGAAAAATGTTATCTACTGTCTTTGTGTCCCCCTTAGCAAATCCTAAAAGAATTTGAATATGTAAAAACACTTACCAAACTGAAATTTAGGGAGGAGAAGTACAGAATTCAGCCGAAAATTTAGGAAAGAGACAGAAAATAGTAACTCTATCGATGGAAAAAATATATTTATGACACGTCGGAACCAGGGGCGAATTTACCTTAGACCAAGCGGTCGAAAAGTTTACTAAATAGGTATATATAATTAAAATACAAAACTAAAAATTGGATAAATATAAAACAGTGACACCACTCAGCGCAAAGAGCTAAGTAGCTCTCTTGGTCAAGTGCGTTGTTTTTCTAGGGAAAGCCAAGGTTCGAATCCTCATAGCTTCATTACGGTCTTTTTATTCCTTTCATCCATTTCAATAAGTTAGTTCAGCTATTTTTTTCCTTCTTCATCTGGTTTCTCGGCTATGAAGTTAAGAATGATTTAAGGAATCAAATAAATAATTAGCTTTTGACTTATTGTTTAATGCCTTCTATAAAAAAAAATTTAACAAAATTTAGTATTATTCTAATCAGGTTATTTTGCATACATTTCAAAAAATAAAAAAACTTATCATAAAGAGTTCAATGATATGCTTGAGTTGTGTTTTATTAATATGATTTGAATTTTGTTACTATTAATATGATATTGCTACACTAATTTATTTATTTCGTCACTTCTTAAAATAGTGACACCGCTTATGAAAAATCCTGCGTACGCCACTAGTCGGAACCCTAGCTTTGATGCTCAAAAATTGTTGAACCTGGGACCCAACTTAGTTAAAAACTCTCTAAAAAGGTCGTCGATAAATGGTCCACACATTGGCGTGTGAAATTTATGCATCACCGGAATCTGGACTGTCGGAGGCACATTCCGGCGTGTGCGGCGTTCTTTCTCGGAGCTGCTTGTGGTGGTATTTGTTTTTGCACACCACTGACATTAATTTCAACACTTATAGCCTCCGGAACCACCTCGAAACAATAAAAAGCGAGAAGAAAACTCAACCTCTTGGAACCCTAGTGATGTAGAGAGAGAAAACTCGCATCAAAAGGGCAACAATGGCTCTGATACCATGTTGAAATTAATGAAGAAGAAAAGGCTTCTTTGTATTTCAATATATCTGTACAATACATGAGCTATAATATTTATATAATAAGTCCTATCTCTAATTTAGGAAAGACAATTAATGCTGTTTACAATCAAATAAAATAAGATCCTTATAATTAAGCTAATCAAATATTCAACAAAACTTCTAGATCCTCTTGACCAATTCAATTGGTGGCTTCTTGTGTTGGTTGCTCCACCCTCCAAGTCGTATCATCTTCAAGAACTTTCACATTGGAAACAAAGACACTAGAAAGAGAATAAGTTAATATGCTAGTAGATAAACAAGGAACCTAATCACTCAAACTCTCTTTTGATTCACCTTTTTCTTGCCACTCAACTCTCTTTTATTCTTGCTCACTCTCTTTTTGTCCTCTTGATATCGCATGCTCTTCACTACTCTTAACCTCTCATTTTGCCTCTCTTGGGATGTCAACAAGCACACCTTTACTTCTCTCTCTCATCCTTTCTTTTTTGCACATATCTTTTGTAGTAGCCTTCAAGGATGACTTTTTAGCTTCCTTGCAATAGTGTAAGATTGATCAATTTTCCTCCTTGCTCAAATGTGTTGTGATCTCATAACCATGATTTCCTAATAATGAGACGACAAGCATGCAATTGCACTACGCCGTATTTTGCTTAATCCTTGTACTTCCCAATAACAAAAGGAATCTTCACCATCTTGTTCACTTTAAGATCTCCGTAACCATTTAACAATTTTGACTTATAAGTTCTAGGATGCTAAAAAGTTCCTAAATTTATCTCCTTCAGCGAGGTAGCAGTTACCAAATCGTCACAACTAGCTCCATCAACTACTAAACTGCACATTCTATTCTCAATCACATACTTGTTGTATAAACTGTTATATCTTTGTACTGATTCTGCTTCTTCATCCTAAGGAATAGTTAAGGCTCACTTAATCATATCCCTCATAAAAGTCCATAGCCGTCTTGCTTCTTTATAAACTAATGAAACATGTTCGACATCAGCATCATCTTGATAATACTCTTAGCTCCTCAATTAGCTCATCAACACAAGAATCATCTTTTTAAAAGAAGTTACACCAACACAGGTCAGCCTCATCCTCAAGTAAACACACAACTTCACAAGTGGAATCACATGTAAGTACTCCCGAGGAATCAACACCACAATTATCATGATTAATATCCACACAGTTAAATGGCCTACTCACACCTGAGGAAGCTTCGGTATCAATTTCACTAATTGGCACACTTTGAAAAGCATTATCACAAGAGGAAAACTAAGTGTAACTAAATAACCTTGATCCTTATTTAAGAGTTTTTCTTTACACACTAGAAGCCTCATAGCCTGTTTGGTCAAGCTCCTTTTGGCCAAAAGGTTTTTTTAGTCAAAAGTACTTTTTGCCAAAATTTAGGTGTTTGACCAACTTTTAGAAGGAAAAAAATGTTTTGATAGAAGTAGAAGTAGTTTTTGAGAAGCAGATAAAAGTAGCTTTTTTCCAAAAGCACTTTTTGAAAAGCACTTTTGAGAAAAATACACTTAGAAGCACTTTTGAAAAGCTTGGCTAAACACTAATTCCTGCTCAAAAGTGCTTTTCAAATTAATTAGCCAAATACAAACTGCTTCTCACTAAAAATCCTTTTTTGATAAGCAAATTTGCGATGCTTGGCCAAACAGGCTATCAGATGGGGTATTTGTGTAGCATAGGTTTTTATAAGCTGACTCCTCCACAAGCTTGGGTGCTTGTTGATGGGAGACATGTCTGGCTTCCTGTATAAGAGACGTGCTTATCATTTAACTATCCACAGCAACTTCTTTGAAAAAAATTCCTTTGCTAGTAGTATTTCACCTCAGATTCACTAGCTACTGCAATTTCCTATATTTGTTAGTGTCATAATAATGGAAATTTACACAGTTTGTTTCCTTTTTATCTTCCTGCAGATTGTGACCAAGCGCAACCGAAGTATAACACTGAATCTGCACAACAGGGATGGTCATGGCCTGAAAAACTTAGGGAAACTTACTGTTCTTGCAGAAGAAACAGTCACTTCAAGAACTGCAGTGGAGATGACATTGCGATGTACCAACCTGGAAAACAAGGATTTATTCTCAAAAAGTGTATGTAACACTGAACTGTACTTTCTTATGGAGCTTCTTGGTGTTTTCAGTCTCATTTGCTCTTTGTCATATACTATCTTCTTTCAGGATCCTTTTTTGAGAATATCTAGGATTGTCGAAACTGGAGGTTCTGTTCCAATTTGCAAGACAGAGGTCGTAAATGATAACTTATATCCCATATGGAAGCCTGTCTGTCTAACTATGCAACAATTTGTGAATAAGGTAGTTTCTTCGTTGCAAGAAGTCAATGCTTGCTACTTGATATCATCTACTAAAACTCCTTCACCTTTGACCATTGGTACCTTGATTGCTTCTAACATTGGGTGTGCCTGGTGCAATACAACATTTTTATTCTATCTAACTGATAGTTCTTTCAGTTGGCTATTTTGTTGTTTTTATCTGATCTACAGTGTATTTTTAGGGGAAAAAATAAAAAAATATGGAGCAATAGTGCATTAATAGGCTTAAAAGTATCTTTCACTATTTATTTTGAATATGGTTTCCTTGCAACTAAAAGTTTCCCTTTCCTATTTATTTTAGTTCTGAATTTAGTGGGTCTTTCTGTTTCCTGCAGGATAATCCACTAGTTATAGAGTGCTTTGATTTTAACAGCAGTGGCAACCATGTCCTCATCGGGTATCTGTTAAGCGTATAAAGAAATATTATTATCGTAGCTCGTTAGTTTTTTTGTTTCAGTTAAAGTAACTCCTTTTTGCTTGTCGGAGAACTTTTGTCATTCTTTTTGTTTTTTTTGAATAAATTATCACCACTTTTAATTCAGGAAATTACAAAAGACAGTGGCAGACCTTGAAAATATGCATAAGAGCAGAGTTGGTGCAAATTTTATTTCACCACCTTCTGGTTTTCGGGGTAATGAAAAGGTAAACTTTCCTTTGTAGTTGATGTTTTTATTTAATTATTCTTTTTTTGGTTGAAGGGGTTGGGGGCCTAACATCTTTGTGATATCCGAACACATTTGATTGTTTTCAGGTCCTGAAAGGTCAACTTTTTGTTGAAGGATATGCTGAGAAGCAACTCTATAGTTTTCTTGACTACATTTCTAGTGGATTTGAGCTTAGCTTTATGGTTGCCGTGGATTTTACTGGTGAAAGCACTATAACTATGTTTACAGTTTTTTTAAATTGGTCTAGGTAAAGAGTTTTCTGATGCATTACAATGCCCAGCTTCTAATGGAAATCCTCGCGATCCTCATTCCTTGCATTATATTGATCCTTCTGGCTGTTTGAATGCTTACTAGAGGGTAAGAGTTTATGACCTTTTTTTACTGACTACATCTTCTTTAAATTCCAATGTTTCCATTGCCTAATAGAACAGCTGAATGTTATTTATATGCCAGGAAAAAGAAAATCATGTGACTGATGATATTTATAATGTACTGTGGTTGCTTGACTGCATTACACACTGTGAAGTTTTAGGCTCTAGCAATGAATTTGTCCAATTTCTGTACCCAAAAGAAATGTTGTCTTACCTTTGTTTGCTCATAATCTGAAAGTATACACATTTAAGTTTGATTGTACGTGTTAAACTTTCTGTTCTATTACAAATCCTAGTATTCTGGTTCTAGCTATGCAAACAAACAGAGTTTTAATTGTCATGTTCAGTATCTGCATGCCAGAAAAGTTTTGTTGATAATTGGTCAATGTATTTGTTACAGGCTATTATGGAGGTTGGAGATGTCATACAATTTTATGATTCTGATAAACGCTTTCCTGCTTGGGGCTTTGGTGGCAGGGCATATAGTGGAACAGTATCTCACTGTTTCAACTTAGCTGGAAGCCCAGGTGCCTTTGAGGTAGAGTTAATTAGTTTTGCTTGCTAGAGATGTCCAGTTGCGAGTCATCTTATATATTATATCCCTCTGCTCCTTTTTATCTGTCACTTAATCCCAAAATAAATTTCGAAAATATTTGTCATTTTAGAAAGCCAAAAAGACATTATTATTATTATTGTTGTTGTTGTTGTTGTTGTTGTTCTTATTATTACTATTATTATTAATATTGGAATTATTATCATATGAATTCCAACATTAGTACTCATAAGGGCCTATTATCATTAATTACTCATTTAAGGAAAAGATAAGGGTAACTTAGTCAAATACTCCTTGTAATTAATTTTATCAAATAGTTTTCTTAATGGTTTTGTCAAAACCTTAAACGACGGATAAAGGGCTGGAGGTAGTACCTTGTGGCTCTATTGTTGATCGACTAACATTGCTGAAGTTCGCAACGATATCAGGAACATGACTAACACTTCTACTGATGGTTGTAGCACTGCAGATATTTTGCGGATGACATATAAAACTGCCATGAGGCTCTTATAATAATATTTAGTTATGCGGTTCTCTTGTGGCCTTTCCCAACTGATATCTTGAGATCTCAACTCAGTTTTCCATGGCAGTGCAATGCCTTTGACAATTTCCTCCTTTTTTTTGAACGAGTAACTTCCTGTTTTTTTCCCTTCTCTTTTGATATTTTTTAACAGGTGGACGGTGTGGGAGGTATCATGGCTGCTTATGCAAGTGCTTTGCAGAATTTTACTCTTTCTGGACCCACATTATTCGGACATGTAGTTAACAAGGCTGCAGAAATTGCTGCTGAGTCCCTCAAGTACAACCAGAGGAAATACTTTGTCCTCCTCATTATAACGGTAATTAACGGATCAAGGCAGTATTATTTTTATATGTGTAATATCAGCAAATTTATCTGGCGAGCTTAATCTTTTAATATTTGTAGGATGGTGTCCTTACTGATATGCAAGAAACAAAAGATGCTCTAGTCAGGGCATCTGACCTGCCACTTTCAATTCTTATTGTAGGAGTTGGAAGTGCAGATTTTACACAGATGGAGGTATATTCTCATCACAGCACTCGAACCTCTAAACGGAGCACATGATATCTACCTCTTATCTACACAAAAGTTGTAGTGACATCATTAACTAATCATGTTTATTATTTCCTTTCAGATCCTTGATGCTGACAATGGACATCGATTAGAGAGTTCCATTGGAAGGGTAGCTACACGAGACATTGTTCAATTTGTTCCAATGCGAGAAGTACATAGTGAGTTGAATACCCTCATAACACAGCATTGTCCTTAATGTTGCTTTTTGAGGCAAAGTTAGTCTGCATGCTAATGACATTACACAATTAGTTGGGAATTGACTTCTGATGTGTAGAAATATCAAGGTTTGTCGTATTAGTTGCTTTGGTTTTACAGATTGTCAAATCATCGATTGGATGTGTTTCCATGATTTTACTATTGCATGCAAAGAATTCTCCTTCGCGGACTTGTTGATAGCTTATTTGCTGCAATAACATTTGCGTCCTTACTCATATTTTGTGCTTGTGCTGGTTCTTCTCCACCAATTTGATTTAACATATAATACATCTTCAGTTGCTCTATATTTCATTTGCTTTTTGTTTCCTTGCATAATTGTTATGTTAGAATCAGTCAATATCCTTTTAACATTGTCGATAAGCTTGATTCTACTTTGTCATTCTGCAGGTGGACAAATTTCAGTTGTTCAAGCACTTCTAGAGGAGCTACCTGGGCAGTTTCTAGCGTACATGCGTTGTAGGAATATTAGACCTCATAACATTGCTGCTGCCCAAACATCTTCTCCAGGACATCCTATGCGGCTTGAGTAAGAAGAAGGATTTCTCATAGGCCATCAAAATCAATGTATGATTCCAGAAGAGAGTGTCTGCTGGGAAGGTTGAAGACTAATTTTTCCTTCTACAGAACGAATTGTATATGCTTCAAAACTAGTTTTGCACATATGTAAATACATAGGTTTTGGTTAGAGCGAAGTAGCTCATAGGTGTGACATTTATGATTGATTTACTTGTTTATACAACTAATCTCAGCACAATCAAACATGGTTCAGCCAATGAAAGGTTAGGATCAATGTCTCACCTGAGCTATGACTATAAGCTTTTAATAGCAAGCCTAATCAGTCATAACTAATATATTATTGCTAATGTTTAAGTGCGAAATCATTTCAGTGAGTGACTATCCTATTTGACTGTTAAAATTGTGGTCTAGATAAATTATGACCAGTGATAAACGGATGGACTATATGTTTTGACTTTTGTATAACAAATTAGCTTAGGGAAAGAGTCTAAGCGAGAAATCTATCATTGCTGGTTAACAAGATTCACACAAGCAAAAAACTTTCGCATATGCAGACGAAATATATAAGACGATAAGGTTAAAGGTGTGTAATGAACTTGTGGATGGATATTAGTCCCAAATTAAAGTTCGGAAGACATGGGTTAGGAGGGGGAGATTCGCAAGATTAAATTCCAAGTCCATCTAGAATCCATAATTTTATTAAATGAATCACAAGCTATATTTGCATTTTGTATTGTTATACTAATGCCATTGATCAACAGGGGCATTTTACCCCTATAAATATAGGACATTGCTCCCTCATTTCACCACACGAACTCACAAAGACAAAAATACCGTTTAAAAGAAAATCAAGTCGGAAATATGAGCAGTATTTTAGAGGGGATTGTTCAAAGAAAATATTTCCTTCGAGTGTTGTTGCTCCTATGATTTTGTGATATTCACATGCTCAGTGGATCTTGGCTCATTAGACTAACATTATTTTGCTCCTCTCGAATCATCATTTTTCTTTATTGGGAAAGGTTCCTCACGCGAAAATCTTGGTATCCTTATTTTTTTTCCTATTCCTATTATTTTTTTGTGTGATTATTTCCGCAAGTATTTCACAATTTCCAACACAAAGAACATACAAATTCTAGAGAAAATAAATTGAAGATCAGGGAGTCACGACCCAACTCTGGCATCTAAGTCGCGACAGGGCACGAGTCACTATTTATTTGGCAAAACCTCTAGCTAAAATGTGACAGAAAGCGTATAATAAGAGAAGAAAGAAAAACATTAAAGTAGTCTCATATATATAACAACGAATTTTTACCTCCTATAGCAAAGATTGATACCTTATTTATTTTAAATAAATACCTTTAAAAAAATTATATTCTATAGATACCTTTTGATTTTTATAGCCAAATATCTATTTATGGTTACCTCCTACTCTTAAGCCATAAAATACTCTTTGTATTATTTTTCTCTCTCATTCTTTCAGATTTTTCTCCACCCCCTCTCTCTCTCTCTCTCAACGCCATATTTCTCCATGGTTGTCTCTCAACGCCATATTTCTGCTCCACACAACAGTGATCTCTCGAATCAATTTCTTAGTTCTCAAATTGTGCAACCCATCAATTTCTTGCTCAGCCCTGTTAATAGCAACCCATCATTCTGAATCAATTTCTTAGTTCTCAAATTGTGCAATAAGAATTTGGGTCGTGTTTTATTTGTAACACCGGCAACCAAACAATGTTTTCCTTGATTTCGTGGTTAATAGTAACCCATCCTCACACTCTCCACAATCTCCACAATCTCCATTGGGTCGTGTTTTCACTATCGGCTTCCGGTGAACGGAGGATGCGCCGGAAATTAGGGTTTGTTCTTCAACAAAGACGACGGAGTTTGGGGCTGAGCAACTTGATTTTCTGTTAATATATTTCAATGTATTTTCATGTATTTCATTGTATTTATTGTCTTTTTTTTTTCATTGTAATTCAATGTATCTCGTTATAATCCATGTATTTCATTGTATTCACTGTCTTTTTTTCATTGTATTTCAATGTATCCCGCTGTATTATATGTATTTCATTATATTCAATGTCTCGCTATATGCCATAAATGTATTCATATGTTTTTTTTAATTAATATAATTTATGTATTCAGATGTATTATATAATTTCTCTGAAGATTGCTATGTTTTTGAGGTATTTTTCGGTTGAGAATTTTTTTTATAACTGAAAATATAAAATTTGTGTGTTATAATTGAGTTTGTTGAGTTATATTAGGAGTCTATTATGTTAATTGATTCACTTTCCGTTTTAAAAACAGTGTAATCCCCTATTTCACGCCGTGAATACAGTCGACTACAATTGAATACAATAATCTGTCCAGCTGTAATCCCATGTTTCACTCCATGAATACAGTCGAATACACTCGAATACAACAACTGATTAGCTGGACTTCCCTGATTCACGCCTTTTTTTTGCTACTGTATTCATGAATACAATAGCTTAAATACATCAAATACATCTTATAACCACACAAAAGGTATCTATAATCTGTAATATAGCAAATGGTATCTATAGATGACTAATTACTACCAAACGATCGTGCTTTATGAAAATTTCTCATATAACAACAGTGTGAAAGCATAGATAGGTCTCAAATCATCCCATAGTACCCAAAAGATATACTAAGTTATGGTGCACTAGAATCTGTATACAACAAATACGAGTCGCAGCTCGATAAAAGAGTCATAACCAGAAATAAAGAATAGAAGTTGAAGCTGCTTCCACAAACTAGAGGTGGATCACCTCAACTAGATAGATCTGGCAACTAGCTCAAATTACTGGTCAACAACTGGATCTACCTCTACTGTACTTGCGCACACGTAGTTACTATGAGTCTAAAAGACTTAGGAATATCATTGGCTCGCTCTCCCAGCTTACCTCTTAGGAAAGTCTTTACAAATTGCTAGTAATGCATACATACATTATAAGTAAAGCAATACAAGTATAAAATAATATACAAGTAAAGCAACTGAATTGAAATCATAAATACAAGTAAAGCATGTAAATATTATTGCGCCTATTTTATACGTATTAAGATAGAATTCAACATAATAAAAATATCCAGGTATGTTAAGGTTTAGGAAGCGCCACCTAACATTTAAGGTATACTAGGATACACACACATCATTTATATGTAATACTTCATTAGTCTACAAAAATATAATAGTGAAATTCTATGTAGGGATTTAATTTATTCTAGAGGAAAGAGATTGGGCATTCTCTAAAATCTACACTAAAATAGTTTCTTGTTACTTAGTCTAATAAGTAAGGGATATTATCTAATTATTTTACCTACCAATTATAAAAGAGTATAGATATTAAAAGACTAAAGTATTAAGAAATCTATGTAAAAGTATGTACAAAAGGGATTTAATAATTGATGAAAAAATAGTAAAAAAACATTTAGTCTTGTAAAAATGTGTAAAGGAATATATACATAAGTAGATATACCTTATGCCTTCCTTTCAAAATAGTTGAGCTAGCCTAATTAAAACCTGAATCTGCTTCCCTTTTAAAAGGAGGAAACTACACAAGATGCCTACGTTGGCCATTTATATTACCCGTTTCTATCCATGTTCAAAATAATTACATAAACTGCCTAAACGATTAAAACAAATTACCCGCCTACCCACAACCCATCCCTTAAGCCACGAGACCCATTTACATATATTTAATGGGTTATTTAATTCTCTTGTCCGCTTGTTTGTTATTAAGTTCCAAGGAACCATAGTTAGATCCTTATATAGCCACCAACTGCCACGTAACTTTTCTTGACCCCAATCCCTTTCTGTTTTGTCTCCTTTGTTTGCCAACTAACCTTTTTTCTTATTTACATGTAGGTTAGGTCCTTCACTCATCAACTTGTAACTTAATATATCCCAAGGTTGTTTAATTTCATGTAATGTCATGTATATCAAATTTAGCTATATTATATTCTTAAATTAAAATTAGCCCAAAATAATTATAAAAATTTGCGGGGCAGACAAGTCTGATTTCAATGAAGTATCAAGGCAAAGGTAACATCAGGGAGGATATCATGCAAATGTCTCATCTTGCTTCTAAGTTGAAAGCACTTAAGTTAGACCTCTCCGAGGACCTACTAGTGTATTTAGTTTTGATATCCCTTCCACCACAGTTTAGCCAGTTTTAGGTGAGCTATAATTGTCAGAAAGAGACTTGGTCTCTAAATGAGCTCATCTCACACTGTGTTCAGGAAAAGGATAGACTAAAGCAGGAAAAGATAGAAAGTGCTCACTTAACCGCTGTGCCTAAGGACAAAAGGAAGGACAAGAAGAGAAAGAATAAGGAATCTGCGGATACAGCAACACAAAAGAAACAATATAAGGAACCAACTATAGATGGTTGTTTCTTTTGTAAAGCTGCAGGTCATAAGAAGAAAGATTGTACCAACTATCACGCATGGCATGCAAAGAGAGGTACACCTCTTCATTTTGTTTGTTCTAAGGTTAATTTGACTTCGGTACCAAGACACTGATTGTGGATAGATTCCGGTATAACAAATCATATCATTATGTCTATGCATGATTACTTGAATTATCGAAAGCCTAATAATGGTGAAAGATACATCTATGATGGTGATGACAAGTCGGTGGAACTCGAAGCAAGTGGAACTTTTAGATTATTATTAAGAACCGATTTTATTTGAATTTGAAGGAGACTTATGTTGCACCATTTTTGATGGAATTTGATTTCTGTTATGTATTAGACAAGTTTGGTTATTTTTATTTATTTGGAAATAAAAAAGTCAGCCACTTTCATAATTCAAAATTAGTTGGTCCCGGTTCTTTATCATGTTACAATAATCTATACTTGATATGATTGCTTCGATCAATGAACCGTGCATGTTAACATAGCTGATAATAAGGGTAAATTAACCATCCAGTAGTCAGCTTCTTTATGGCACGAGAGATTAGGTAATATCTCCAAAGGAGAATTAAGAGACTTCTGTCCAATGATATTTTCTATCCCCTAAATTTTTCAAATTTTTTATTTTACTACTAAGGCAAATTTCCCCCCTAGTAATGTGAGGTTCTCTTCATCTTAGAGTTAAGGTATTGTTTCATTTGGTATCGAGATGAATCTTGTTGATATTGTGTATATGATGGTAGGCTAGAATTGCATATTTTGGTCACTTATTGCACTCTAATTCACTTTACTTTATTAGTGTTTGAGCTTTAAATTGTATCATTTTGCACCGAGTGTGTGTTTTAAGTCTTGTAGGAGCGATTTCGAGTTATGCAGATGTTGTGAAGCTAATTTGAGCTATTTGGAGCTTTGAAGTCTGAGTAAAAGCTCCAGGAATTAAGTCGGGATCGTGTTCGGGGATCAACGGACGAATAGTGAACTTAATGGGAGAAAAAAGAGTTGAGCAGGAGCGTTACTCAGATGCACAATCGCGCATGAGAGACCCCCAGCACGCACTGGAGTACGCAAGTAAGGCAGTGTTCCTCCAGAGGTGCGCGACCATATGCACCGTCACAACTCCAGGTGCCCGGCCGCGCACGTCCACTTCCGGAAACTTTACCCATACCTATTTTTGTAATTTCGGAGGTGACCCCTTTTGACCTATATGAAGCCTAGCCCGTCAAAAAACAAGGGACCAGATATTTTGGAGCAACTTTGGGAGAGAAGAAGGCAAGGAAACAACAGAGACGCGAAATACTTGATGCAATTCATTCAATACGGAAGTTTGTTTGATTTTGGGAATTGTAATATCTTCTTGTTCTTCTAATACTCTTGTGATAAAGAACTTCTCCACCATGGAGTAAATGTTCTTAGGGTTATTGACGGATATTGTGATTTGACTATTGTTTTGGGTTTTACTCTCTGTTAATTGCCGAATTCTTTGAATGAGTTATTAATTGAATTGCAAGGGCAAGTGTGGTTTTACTTTAATCGAAAGAGAAGTGTTGCTGCAGTTTGCATTGTGTTATCTTGTTGGGTTGATTTTACGCCTCTCTTAGGTAATCGAAAGAGCTTAGAGAGCTATCAATTGACCTAATTGGGAAGAATAGTCGAGAGACGTTCTTCGAAAGATCATTCATCCATTGTACCCGTTATTAGGTTGATTAACGGAACTCTCATTCATTCGGAAGAAGAATTTGAATCCTTAAGATAGCGTGATCATCCATTGAAATCAAAAGAGTCAATAGAAGTAAAGAGTGAACTTAGCACGGAGTTATCCAAAATAATAGTTGATCATGTATCTTGTTACATCCCTTACTTCTCACCTTGATATTCAATTGTTTAGTTTTTTACAATCGAAAATCTTAGTTTTATTATTAGGCCATAATAACATAAATCAAAGGTTTATTTTCCTGGATAGTGTTAAGCTGAAGATTTATTAGAACATTATTTAAACCAATCCCTGTGGAGACGAATTAAATACTATACTATCTTTGACTAGCGAGCCTAAGTTTTATACACTGGTTTTGCGCTCGTCAAATTTTGGCGCCGTTGTCGGGTTTTGGCTGTTAATACTGTTTGAATTAATTTTTGGTGCTAATTTAGGAACAATTTTATTTTATGTTCTTTTTTTACGCTCTTCTCATCTGTGTGCAGGCAACATGTTAAGTTCAGCGGTGTATGACTCGATCCTCTTCCAAGGAATTGGTGCCACGATCCAGAATTAGACAAGCACCTGCGGCAGTTGAGAAGGGAGAAAGGATCAAGCAGATTGTTGTTGGGTCAGACTTCGACTCAAAATACAATGATGAAAAATGAAGAGGATGTGAACCTAGCTGCGAGAGAGGGAGCTCAGCAACAGGAAGCACGGTTAGCAGCTGAAGTAGCCCGTAGAATTGCGAATGAAACAATCGACGGGGATCGAAGGTTCAATCCCAACCGAAACATGATCGAAGATGAATTTGAAAATGCAGCCCCTATACTTGGGAGGTCTTTAGGAGATTATGCCAGACTGGTGTACAACTAACATTAATCTAGTGTGAGGCCCCCACCCATTGATGCCAACAATTTTGAGCTCAAACAGGGAGTCATCCAGACCATTCAGAACAATTGCATATTCAGAGGCAAACCCAATGAAGATCCCAACAACCATCCGATGGACTTCGACGAAATTATGAACACATTCCGCTACAATGGAGCATCACATGATGCCATCTACCTCAGAGCATTCCCTTTCTCACTCAAGGATGATGCAAATCAGTGGTCGATAAGTCTGCCTACAAGGTCAATTCGTACATGGGAGGAGATGACTACCAAGTTCTTAGAAAAATATTTCTCTGCTGTTAAGACTGGACGATGAGGAAAGAGATTCACAATTTCAGCCAAGGTGAAGAGGAGACAGTGTTCGAGGTATGTGAATGATTTAAGGAGTTATTGCGGAGGTGCCCTCGTAATGGAATTGAGTAATGAATGCAACTACAGGACTTCTGGGACGAGTTAAATCCGTCATCAAGGATTGTCTTAATAGTGCGGTTGCAGGTCCTCTGATGAAGAAAACTCCAGAAGAAATTGTCACACTTCTGAATGAACTATCAGAAGACGCAGAACAATGGTCCATAGACCAAGGGGATCAAAGAAGATCAGTAGGGGTGTACCAAGTAGAATCGTCTGTAGCAATGCAGGCAAAAATTGCAGCTATGGCTAAGGACATCAAGCAACTGCGATGGCTCAGGTGCAAAATCAACCACAGATGGGATGTGACATCTGTGGATTGGGACACCCGACTCATGAGTGCCAAACATTCACCGCAGAAGAAGAAGTTAAGGCTTTAAGTAATTTTAACAGAAGCAACTACCTAGGAGGTGGTAATTTCAATTCTATGGGACAGAGACATCCGGTATTCTCATGGAGTACTTTAAATGGTAGCTTGAACTCATGGCAGCAACAAAATCCAGAGCACAAATGCAAGGACCTATTGGCTTCTAGAACCAACAGAGGCAACCATACCAGCCTCCACAGTCCAATAACTCAAGTTTAGAAGATCTAATGAAGGCATTCATAAATCAATCAGATGAAAAACTTGAGACTCAAGGGATCGTTATCCGGGAGCAAGGAACAGCCATCCGAAATCTAGAAAGACAAATGGAGCAGCTCGCATCATTGCTATCAGAAAGGTCTCCGGGGACTTTGTCTGCAAACACTTAGAAGAACCCAACAGAGATGATCAAGGCTGTGTCTCTTAGGAGTGGAAAAACATTAGCAGAGCCCATTGGAAAACCAAGGGCTGAGAAGGAGATCAACTCAACCAAGATAGCAGAAGAACAGAAAATCGGCGAATCTCTGCCTAAGGAGGATATTAGTAGTAGGAGGTTGATAAACAGAAATTTAGCAGTGCAGTTGAGAAAAGCAAGCACATGTAGTGTTACCCTTTCCTCAAAAGATGAAGCGGGAGAAACTAGACAAATGCTTTGGGAAATTCTTGGAGATGCTGAAACAGCTATGTGTGAACATGTTCACCGAGGTGCTCACCTAGATGCTAGCCTATGCAAAATTTCTGAAGGAAATCCTTTCAAGTAAAAGGAAGCTCGAGGAGGCGAAGGTTGTCAAACTTAATGCACACTGCAATGCCATTATACAAAACAAAATTCCTCAAAAGTGTGGGGATCCCGGCAGTTTCACTATACCCTGTTCATTGGGAAGCGAAATTTTTTGACAAAACCTTATGCGATTCAGGTGCATCCATTAACTTGATGCCATTATCGGTGTTCAAGAAATTGGAAGGAGAACTAGGAGTGATTAAATCGGTGCCGGTATCTTTGCAACTGGTTGATCAGACCACGATCATACCGGAGGGCATAATTGAAGACATTCTAGTGAGGGTAGACAAATTTGTCTTCCCAGTAGACTTCATTGTAGTAGACATGGAAGTGAATAAGGAGGTACTTCTAATCCTGAGGAGATCGTTTCTTTGCAATGGCCGGGATATTCTTGTTATATATAAGGGGCAACTCATGCTACGAGTGAGAAACAAAAAAGTGGTGTTTCAAATGAAGAGAATAACACAATACTCGTGTGATGAGGCATCTACCTATGCTTGTCTCAAGCTAGATGTGGTGTGAGAGTTTGCTGAACAACACAACCTATATAAGCTGGTAGGTGATGCATTAGAGAGATGCATTATTCAATCAAGCACAACAGAGGATGAAGATCCTGAGATCAAGAAGGAAGTTGAGGCACTGAAAGATGAGAACCTGGTGGTAGATGAAGAAGAATTTGAGAAAGAAAAATCAAGCCGAAGCTGGAATTGGAAGTACTCCCGACACACTTGAAATATGCTTTTTTGGAGACTAACAATTTTCCCGTGATTGTTGCTGCTGATTTGATAGGTGAACAAGAACACATGCTTACGGAAGCATAAAAAGGCAATCGGTTGGAGTATAGCCGATATTCAGGGGATCAACCCCGCAATCTGCATGCACAAGATCATGTTAGAAGAAGGGAGTAAACCGGTGGTGCAGCCCCAATGCAAATTCAACAAAAACCTTGAGGAGGTGGTGCAAAAAGAGATACTCAAATTGTAAAGAAAAATTGTTTTTTCCCGACGATGGATATCATTCGACAGGTTTTTGAGGGATTAAAGTCAAAAGAAAAAAGACAAGATTTCCTTTTGTTAGGTAGTGTATTAATTCCTCCTTGTTTTTTCTTTGTGCCGCGGTTCTTTTTCAAGGGCTTTGTTTGAACCGGGTGTAGTTAGTTTTTATTTTGGTAGGAGTAGGAAACCATGTGCTATGATCTAAAGGGAAGGCAATATCTATTGACTCTATTATACCTTGAGAATAGTGAGTGCTTTAGTTATGACGCTTAGACTCAATTTTTGACTCTTGCATAAGTACCTTTAAGTGTATGATCTTAATGTTGCCTAACTGCTCTGACTAGAGTATCGTGATTCCGATCTTGTGTGAGTTATGTGCCATGTGTGTGTGAGGTTTTGTGTTATTCTATGCATTGAATCTGATGTCTAGAACTTGCCATGTGTGTTTGCAAGGTGAAATAGTAGTTTTATTCAGTCTTGAAAGTGATATAGGAATTTCTTTGTTGAGCTAGTTATAGGCTTTTACCCACTAATTGTTATGTATCTTAGTTAACCCCTTTGAGCCTATAATCCTGTTTCTTTGGCAACCACATTACAAGCCTTATCCATTTGTTTGAATTGATCATCTATTTAAAACTTTTACCTCCCGTGAGCACTTGAATTGGTTATGAACTTTATAAAAGTTGAAGTGTGGGGTGGTTGGTTTGGCTTTTGAGTGGAACAAATGAATTAAGGAGAAAGGTCCACCGTATTGAAATTGTAAGAGCCACTTGAATTGAAAAAGAAAAGAAAGAAATAAAAAATATATATAGTTGTATTGTTGTGTAAAATATTCTTTGATAGTGGTGACTCTTGATGTAATTATGCTTAAAGAAGTAGGGAGTTAACGTAAATTGAGGTGAAGGTGGCGTTATGATTTGACATAAGCATGTAAATGGTTAAGTGTATGTATTAAAGTGCTTAGGGAGGTGTAGTCACTCTGGTATCCAAATGTATCCTACATCCTGCAACCTACATTACAACCAAATAAAGTCCTACTTGATCTTTGACTGAATGAGCTCAATTAGTAAAGTAGTACACTATGGTCAAGCCTATGGTACGTCATTTGTGTCATATGAATGTTATTTCTGAGAGTGAGCGAGTTCTTTCTATCTTGAGTTCCTAAATGTTCTTAATTTCTATTGTGTGGGGAAGTACTCTTTATTGTTGTGTGAGGTCACTTAATTCATGAAGGAAAGGTAATGTCATTGACCTCTAGGCTAGAGTAAGTGAGCGGGTTATGAATAATGCGTGGTGCTTTTGAGTCAACTCTTGAGGTTAAGATGTTATGATGTTATGATGTTGTACTTAATCTGTTTTAAAGAGTCTTGGTGTTATGAGTTATGAGAGTTGTTGAAAAAGGTCATGTTTTATGTGAAGTGTAGTTTGATTTCTCGAGGACGAGCAATGGTTTAAGTGTGGGGTGTTGATGGTAGGCTAGAATTGCGTATTTTGGTCACTTATTGCACTCTAATTCATTGCACTTTATTAGTGTTTGAGCTTTAAATGGTATTGTTTTGAACTGAGTGTGTGTTTTATGCCTTGTAGGAGCGATTCCGAGTTATGCAGATGTTGTGGAGATACTTCGAGCTATTTGTAGCTTTGATGTCTGAATAAAAGCTCAAGGGATTAAGTCGGGATCATATTCGGGGATCAACGGACGAATAATGCACTTAATGGGAGAAAAAAAGAGTTGAGCAGGAGCGTTACTCAGATGCGCGACTACGCATGAGAGACCCCCAGCGCGCACTGGAGCGCACAGGTAAGGCAGTGTTCTACCAGAGGTGCGCGGCCATATGCGCGGTCACACCTCCAGGGGCGCGGCCGTGGACGTCTGCTTCCGCAGACTTTAGCCAGGACTATTTTTGTAATTTCGGAGGCAACCCCTTTTGACCTATATGAAGCCTAGCCCGTCTAAAAACAAGGGATCGGAGATTTTGGAGCAACTTTGGGAGAGAAGAAGGCAAGGAATCAATGGAGACGCGAAATACTTGATCCAATTCATTCAATACGGAAGTTTGTTTGATTTTGGGAATTATAATGTCTTCTTGTTTTTCTAATACTCTTGTGATAAACAACTTCTCCACCATGGAGTAAACGTTCTTAGGGTTATTGATGGATATTGTGATTTGACTATTGTTTTGGGTTTTACTCTCTGTTAATTGCCGAATTCTTTGAATGAGTTATTAATTGAATTGCAAGGGCAAGTGTGGTTTTACTTTAATCGAAAGAGAAATGTTTCTTCAGTTTGCATTGTGTTATCTTGTTGGATTGATTTTACGCCTCTCATAGGTAATCGAAAGAGCTTAGAGAGTTATCACTGTATTTGTGCATATGTTCATAGGACCCATTATTAGGTTGGTTAACGGAACTCTCATTCATTCGGAAGAAGAATTTGAATCCTTAAGATAGCTTAATCATCTGTTGAAATCGAAAGAGTCAATAAAAGTAAATAGTGAACTTAGCACGGAGTAATCCAGAATAATAGTTGATTGTGTATCTTGTCACATCCCTTACTTCTCACTTTGATATTCAATCGTTGCTACTTAGTCATTAATTTTCCATTAGTTTCTTATAATCGAAAATCTTAGTTTTATTATTAGGCAATAATAACATAAATCAAAGGTTTATTTTCCTGGATAGTGTTAAGCTGAAGATTTATTAGAACATTATTTAAACCAATCCATGTGGAGACGAATTAAATACTATACTATCTTTGACTAGCGAGCCTAAGTTTTATACACTGGTTTTGCGCTCGTCGGTATACCACAAGTTTAGCGGGAGTAAGTATATCTTTTTGATTCGTATATATTTGATATTTGCATATGATTTTCGGATGTTAGGCATATGTTTAAACAAATTAGAAATCTATCTTTGAAGAGCGACCAAAAGGTTCATAAGGTACTTATAGAGAACATGTATACACTTTTTTATGCTCACATAAAGAAAGTCGGAAAAGTTAAAAATAATCAGGTATTCAGGTACCGACTTTGCTAGAGGCCAATATAATATGAACATACTTGGTTGATGAGATATATAAGGAAGAGTGTTAACCGAACACTCGTAGTTTTTTTTACCACATATTGTGTGGCATCTAATTATGGAATACGATTCCAGAGTTTTGTCACTGGCTGCGAATTTATGAATAAAGTTAAAAGAACACTTAAGTTATTCTGTGACAATAAGTTACCAGTTCTGTATTCTAATAACAACAGGGGTTCGGTAAAAGTCAAAGCACATTGACATAAAGTTTCTGGTTATTAAAGAAAGAGTTCAGAGCGGTTAGGTATCTATAGAGAAAATTAGTACAAACTCCATGATTGTGGATCCACTAAGGGACTACCAGCCAAGGTTTCATAACCATATTGTTCATATGGGTGTCATGTCATTTGAGGATATTCCGTTTTAGTGGGAGTTTGTAACCTCTTAAATGTTCTTTATGTATACAATTTGGTTTCAGTTTAAGGTTTCAGGTTATGCTTTCAATTTAAGGATATTTGAGGTTATTTCTGCAGAAATAAGTTATTTAGTTTAATTTCACTCTGACTTATTTTTTCAGTTGGATTAGTTGGAAACATGCATGCTTGGATCACATTGCATGTAATTTCCTTGCTACACATCCATACTTGATCTAGTCATTTGGTTATGTTAGTATTCATGATCAAAGAATGTTTAGTTATGATAAATGTAATAAATGCCGCCTTGGTCCAATATTGGCATGATTGATGGACGTGATTGTTCGGAGGTACTTTGGTTTATGATAGTAAAATTTTTGAGGTCATAAGCTGACATACAATTATAAAGTTATATGTACATATATATATATGTCGTCCAAGTGGGAGATTGTAAGAGTTTATTGATTTGCACATATATTTATATTAAGAATAATTGTTTGTTGGTTGCTATCATCAAAATATTGACCCAAGCTAAAGTGATTTGCTAAGTTTTAAAGTTAAATGGGTCAACAAGACACCTCCTAAAGCATGGGGTCTTATGCGTAGATACCCGGATGTAATCTCTTATTTAATGATGGACTAAATTAGAATTACGTAAACTGTGTGCTTCTATAAATAGGGTTATGGTCCCAAATCATATGTAGGGTTCTTTTCTAATATTACATCATTGTAAAAGTGTGAGCCGCCATCTGTGCAACTCCTACGTCTCAGTTTGGAAGATCACTATCCGCAATGACGACCAGTTTTACCGGTTTTTATGGATTTAGGTGCGCTTTCGCATCTAGTATTTGTTCTTGATGATTTTACATGATAGGTCTTGGGTAAAAGATGAAGAATTTCATCTTTAAAATAATTTGGTTCTAACAATTGGTATCAGAGCCTTTTCACACTTGAAAATACTTTTTCAATTTCAGCCATAAATTCTTTAGCCGTCTTAACCATGTCGGACATAGTGCTCCTGAATATTTCTAGAATGACTTTCTTCATGATCATCAACTTTAAAGCTTGATACTCATAAGCTTGAGGTTTATTTGGACAGTTATTTGAAAGATTTGGGTAAAGCCATTTCTTAAAGATCCATAATTAGAAAAAACCAAATGCAACATTGAAGAACTTTAAACTTGAAACTCATATATTGGTTTGCTGAGTTTGTAGTTATTTTGATAGGATTTTACCTAGGGTTTGGTTGAAATGTTGATTAGAGGTCATGGCTAAAGTTTGAGCCAATTTGATGGAGATTTTG